CGCCCTAACCCGAGCGCGACAGCAGCAGCTCCGGCAAAGACAACTGCGGGGCCAGGCAGCGGCAACGGCGGCGGAATGTGCTGCCGGCTAAGAGGGGGAGGCAGCCTCGATCTGAGGGCCCCGGCTCCGCGGCCACGCCCATCGTCGCCAGCCCAGCCCGCCGATTGGCCAACCGGGTGCGCTCGACCAATCAGAAGGGGAGATGGAGAGCGGGGGCGGAAAGAGCGAACGGAAAGGGGAAGCAGGCGACGCTGGGAGTAATGGGCTGGGTACCCCGGGCTGGGAGGGGTGCGGCGGGGGCAGGGCAGGGAGGGACCACGTGCCTCCGGAGAGAAGGGGAGGAAGCGGAAGAAAAGTAGACTTGAGGGGAGGCCGGGAAGGGGATGGAGAGGCACGGGGAACGGGGCGGGCACGAGTTGGTTTGTTCCAGTTGTCAGGGTAGCCCGAGACGTCGGAGGTCCAGGGTTGAAGCCGAGTTGAAGTCACGTGCTTTTCTCCGCCGGTGCGTCTTCTTTTCCAAGGCATTCTTTGCACGATGCGCTCTCTTTGTAGGGAGTAGAGATGCGCTTCGACTCTTTCTAGGGTCGGGAACCCCTAGCTCTATTCCTCGGCAGGGGTTCCCTGTCGTTTGAGGGCCGGGTCTTGGGGCCAGGACTGGCAGGGGTGACCTGCGTTCGGGAGGCGCAGCGGAAAGCGAGAGGGACGGTGGGTGGAGAAGGAAAGGAACCCATTAGACGAATGCGATTCACCCTCCTGACCAAGTGACCGCAACAGGTAGGAACTTGGGAGGAGCCCATGATCCTGTGATTATACCACTTCCTAGGTAATTCGTCTTAGAAAGTTAAGCTATTTGGCCTGGATATCGTTTACCAGGATCATCATTACCAGAGGCAGAAATAACACAAACGAGAGCGCACTCAAAAATTTCAGAAGAGGAGGAAATCGTTTTTAAATATATTTAAATACCAACTAATAGCACCGCAAATGCGAAGGGATATGTGAAGTAGTCAGCAGCAACTCAGGTCAGAAGCAAAGAATAGAGACTTTGGGTGTGTTTAAATATAGCGAGGTAGGGGGGAAAGACCCTGATACAATCTCCTTCGGAAACGTTGACCCCTGATCCTTTTTGGTATTTTTTTTTTGGAAGAACAGCATGCAGAAACTAACGTTTAAAATTCAATTGTTCCTTAAGGAAACAATTTTAAAGTCAAATTTCTAAAATAAAGGAAGAAGACATTGGGTTTAACCAGTACAAACGACTGAGTTCCCTTTGAAGGAGGGGAAATGAAGAGAGTCACTTGGAGAAGATGTAATGTAGGAGGGAAAGGTAAAAATGTAGCAGCAGAGTTAATTCCTTTAAAGTCCTCAGGACTTTGTATACTTTCACCTGGGCTATGACAAACAAGCTGTGCCTGAAAATAATTCACACTGAAGTTAACTTGAATGTAAATTCAGTGCAGATCCTAAAATACAAGTGAAGTTCATTATAAATTATTATTCCCCAAAGACTCATTCAATCGAAGTAACATTGTATTTCTGTGCTGGAACACTGATGTTTTCAGAATAATCTTAGAGTAAGAAAAATTCAGTTGAAAAGTTGGAATACGTGTGTGTTTTCCACCACCATGGATTTTGTCATGCAGGGTTCAGGAAAAAAAAAAAATTACTGACAAATTCTCACCCTATGATTAGAAGTTATCCTGTTAATATGCACGTATAAATTAATATTTTGTACTTCTTGGAATAAATGTCATGATAACTTTCATGATGAAGTTTATGAGCTTGTTTGCTCTTGTATGTCTTCATGTCTCCCAGCTACAACTGGTTGTCTCTGGTGATTAATCAGCAACCCGAAGTTCTTTCTGCAGAATATTCCTTTAAAAAGGGCATGATCACAGTTACCAACTGAGAGATATGCAATACAAATAGGAAATAACCACAACTTGCAATTTTATATATGGCAGTTTGCTTTGATCAAGGGGCACATACTCACCATTTTTAGTCAAATGATCAATTTCTTTCTATCAGTACCAGTTAATCTTATATGTGTGTTAATCTGATGTGAATTGGGGGGGGGGAGGGAGCTGGCTGGTATGGGGATCCAAACCCTTGACCTTGGTATTACAAGGCTGTGCTCTAAACAGCTGAGCTAACCAGCCAGCCCCAGGAAATAACCACAACTTGTAATTTTATTTAATATCTGACTAAGGTCTACCTTCTCTAAACAGTAATCTCTCTGAAATCAAAGCCCATATTTGTTTTGTACAATACTCTATACCCAGCACCCATTAGTACTTTCCATAGAGTACAAGGGTGCTTCAAAAGTTCATGGAAAAATAGAATTAAAAGATAATACAAATCTTTCTGTGAACTTTTCAAAGACCCCTCATCAGAACTCAGTGACTATTTGTCATATGTAAGACCTGAATCTAAGCTTATTTAAGTGTACAGTTGGCCCTCCCTATTCATGGGTTCTGCATCTGTGGATTCAACCAACCACAGATTGAGAATATTTGAAAAATAGAATTGTGTCTGTACTGAACATGTATAGTACAGAACTTTTTTCTTGTCATGATTCCCTAAACAATACAGTATAACAACTATTTACATACCATTTACTTTGTGTTAGGTATTATAAGCAATCTAGACATGATTTAAAGAATATGGGAGGATGTACATAGATTATATGTGAATACTATGTCATTTTGTATCAGGGACTTGACCATCTGCAGATTTTGGTATCCATGAGAGGTCCTGAAACCAACTCCTATAGCTACTGTGGGACAACTGTATGTCCCTGAAGTTGAAAATAAGCTAACACTTGATAAAAATATGGATTGAGTTGTTATTGCTTCTAAAATACACTGAGTTCCTTCTAAGAATTCTTGATTCGGTATCATACTCATTTGAGGGTTAAAGTTCGGAGAATAAATCAGACATACATTTCAGGACAAAACCCCCTATGTGTTTAAAAGTAGTGTAGTATACTTTGCTGTGACAAAGTTGTCCTTAATTATAATTTTTCAGTAATCTGTTTACTGACCTAACTTTTTCACTTGAAATTGTCTCTACTCATTTGTCAACAAGTTTACATGTTTATTGTCTGTCTGTACTTTCAGCTCTTCCCAAACAGAAGATACATAAAATATCAAAAGGGTAAAGAAGTTCTTCAGGAAGTTTGTAATAGCACTAAATGCAGATTGCCAACCTAATTGGCAAGATATGGTAGATCTCACTGGTTAGGAGGTTTCAGAAATTTAATTTACGGAACTAAGGAAGTAGTAAAGTGCAGAATCATTAACACCATTTCAACATTATCTTACTTTGGGCTGTTACAACAGATTACCATACAGTGGATGGCTTAAACAACAAACATTTATTTCTCATGGTTCTGGAGGATGTGAAGTCCAACATTAAGGCGCTGGCTGATCTGGTGTCTGGCGAGGGCCTGCTTCCTGGTTTGCAGATGGCTGTCTTCTGGTATTCTCATATGGTGGAGAGCAGCCACAGAGGGCAAGCTGTCTTGTCCCTTCTTATAAGGGCACTGTATTAGTCAGGGTTCTCCAGAAAGGCAGAACCAATAGGATATGTATACAGATATACGAAAGGGGATTTATTAGGGGAATTGGTTCGTGCAATCGTGAAGGCTGAGGAGTCCCATGATAGGCCATCTGCAAACTGGATGCCAGTAGCATGGTTCTGTTCAAGTCCAGGAGCCTCAGAACCAGGGAAGCAAATGGTGTGATTTTCAGTCCAAGGCCAAAGGCCTGAAAGCCAGGGGTTCCACTGGTGTAAGTCCTAGAATGCAAAGGCTAAGAGTCTTAAGTTCAGATGTCCATGGAAAGGAGAGAAGAGTGTATCCTGACTCCAGCAGAAACAGAGCAAGTGATTCGTCTTTTTCTACATTTTTGTTCTCCCTAGGCCTCCAGTGGACTGGATGGTGCCTGCCTATATTGAGGGTGGATCTTTCCCACCCGATCCACTCAGACTTACATGCTAATCTCTTCTGGAAACACTCTCATAGACATACCCAAAAATAATGCTTTACCAGGTTTCTATGTATTCCTTAATCTAATCAAGTTGACACCTGAAATTAACCAACACAGGCAGTAATCCCATTCATGAGAGTTCCGCCCTCATGACCTAATTACCTCCCAAAGGCATCACCTCTTAATACCATCACATTGGGGGTTAGGATCTCAACATGAATTTTTGGGGGACACAAACATTCAGTTTATTACAAATTTAAGAAAGATGCTTTTTGTGTGTATGAAATATAGTAGTTATAGCCAAAAATTATAAAACCTGTATATGAGACCTGTTTTTAAGTAGACTTATTTAATGTTAGGTAACATAATATTCTGACTTGTTATTACTTTTGGTATTGGAAAAGTCTAAAATATTATGGAGATACTTGTTTTCAATGTGTCATGAAATTCTCCTCTTAGAGTCATTTCTGAATAAAGAAATTTGCTCTGCAGCAGAGATTTGTAAGGGGATTTGTGAAGGCTTACACAGGGTTTTAGTTCGTCAAATGTAACTTAAGAATAATTATAATTGTATATTATTTTATTTAAGCAGTTTGGACTATTCTCATGATATAAAAATTTAATCGTAGATTGCAAAATCTCTCTTTATAATATGGATTTACGGTTTCTGTTACTGTTTGAGCAATACCTTGTATTACGTGTGATTTCTTGACCAAAATGCTGGGTAGTCTTTGCTGAAAAAAGAAGAAATTTTTTATGTTGTTAAATCTTACAAAATGTAATTTGTGTTTGTAACAGTTGGGCTCGTTTTCTGTTTTTTCGGTTTTTGTTTGAGATTTTTTTTGAGAGAAAAACATTGAACCTTTGCTAATATACCTTTATTTTTCTCTGGGGAAAAAAAATTGATCAGGTATTAGGGGACTCCTTCGTTCCTTTTATTGCCAGACTTTTCTGACTTCTAACTTGAGGAGCTTGGAGAAAACTACTTTATTTTGATTTAAGTACCTGAATGGTAAAAGACAATAAATTAAAAGGCTAGCCGTTGATATTAATTTGATTGAGGGAGATGAATCACCTAGTTTTTCTTTAGATTTTTTAAACTTAATTTTGTCTGTTTAATTGAAGAAAAACTTAAAATTATAGGCCTGACCTCTGCCTCTAATACCTCTCACTTCAGGCAAGCTCTTGACCCCTATCTTTTTTTTTTTAAACTTTTTATTTTTAAATAATTATAGATTCATAGGAGTTGCAAAAAACTAAAATGTACAAGGAGGTCCCACATCCCCTTCACTCAGCTTCCCCCAAGGGTAGCATCTTATATAACTAGAGTATGCTGTCAAAACAAAGAAATTGATATTAATATAATCCACAGAAGTTATTTAGAGGTGAAAGAAGACATTGGAATGTAAAGAATATATTAAAGTATCAGGGGGTGCCCATATACTGGAACCTCTTATAACCTAACACTTTATGGGAAAAAATTTTATAATGACAGTAATAATAATTTTTACCAAATATTGAACATCAGTCAGCCTGGTTAGTACTTGGATGGGAGACTGCCTGGGCATAACAGCTGCTATACACTTTAAAAAAGAAGCAAACAAATGTTGAACCCCCCCTCATATTTTAGGTATAGGTGTTTTATCTACCTGAGGAATTTTATTGTTATTGTTATTTGTATTTCTATTATGAACAGATAACACCTATTGAGCACTTGTGTAGCAGGCAGTCTTCTAATTCACCACAACCCTATGAGGTAGGTGTACTTACTTTACAAATGAGAAAATTGAAGCACAGAGAGGTTTAGTAATTTGCCCAAAATCACACAGTAAGTGGTAGAGCTGGCATTTAAAATGGCCTGACACCAGGGCCAGCACTCCTATTACCATGAAGGTTTATAAACTTCAGTGTTCAAAGTAAACTTTTGAGGCAAGTATTATTATTTCCATTTTCTGTATGAGGAACCTGAGGTTCAGAAAGGCTAAGTAAATTTCTCAAGAACCTGCACAACTAACTTCTGCAACCCTAGTTTGATTCCAAGCCTACCTAGCTGCAAAACCCCCAATGTTTCTAGCTGATTGTTCTGCTCAGCTGGACCTCTAAAGAGGTCTAGTTTTGAAATGCCTACGGGAATGGGTCCCAAACTTCAGAGTGCATTACAATCACCTGGAAGGCTTTAAACCCAGATTGTTGGGCTTTATCCCTGGGGTTTCTGTTTCAGTAGGTCTGGGATAGCCCCTGAAGATTTGAATTTCTAACAGGAGCTCAAGTGATGCTGAGGATGTTCCAGTTCCTGGAACATAACAGAACTACTAGATGTGGCCTAACAGAGCTCATTATAAGATGGTTGCAGCCTTGAAATAAGGGTAATAGATCATATGTCATGCAACATTTCAAAGTAATGCATATATAAAATCATGGTTATAGATCTCTTACTCAAAAAACATACCAAATAATTAGTGTTTCAAGGACAGAATTTTAGAAGTCAGTAATATCTAGTTCCATATTACTTTCTGAATAAATTTATGCAGTATTTTCCTGGATCTCTTTCTGCCTACTTTTTCTCTTGTGTTTTCTCAAATATCATTTTCTTTATGATATTCTTCGTAAAGATTAGCTCCACTGAGCCTGTGAAATCTATTGTATTCTGAGTTCCTTGATGTGAGCTTAAATTTCATGTACAGTGCTCTGCCACTGCCTTCCCTACCCTCTTAAAGCTCAGGCCTGTTCCAGTTTTTGAGCCAATTCCAGATATGGGTTGAATGTTTGTCCCTTTCAAAGCTCATGTGGAAGATTGATTCCCAGTGTGGCAGTGTTGAAAGATGGGGCCTTTAAGAGGTGATAGGATCGTGAGGACTATGTTCTCATGAATGGGTTAATCCATTCATAGAATAATAAGTTAATGGTTTAATGGGTCATCATGGGTGTGAAGTGATGGCTTTATAAGGAGAGGACATGAAAATGCTCTCGCCAGTCTCACCATGTGATGTTTTGCTATACTGCGGGACTCTAGGGAGTCCCCACCAAGAAGAAGGCCCTCACCAGATGTGCCCCCTGGACCTCGTACTTCCCAGCCTCCCAAGCTGTGAGAAATAAATTTCATTTTCTTATAAATTACCCACATTCAGGTATTCTGTTATGTGTAACAGACTAATACAATTCCCAAAGAGGCAGAATATTTTTCCATTAACTGTTCTTTCTCTCCTCCTAAATCGAGCCTATTTGACAGACATTCTGGTTTCTCTTTACTAACCTCCTTCCCAGGGCCCTTGCCCCACAGACCCAGTCAGGAGTGGGGTCTCCTGCCACATCTGAAATGACCTCTTGGAACCATTTCTCATACCAACAAACAAAACAGAATTGCAGAGTTAGCTTCTCTATTTTTAATTACCCTGTTCAGGGGGATTCCTTTGCAATCAAAACAATAGGAGAAAAGACGCCTGTTTATTCTTAATCCTTTCTCATTTCTACTAATGGTGCTACTCAGTTTCTTGGCTGATAACATTAAGTATCTTTTATTCTTCATCCTTTTCTCCTGTATCCCACATTCAGTTAGTGCCAAATTGTATTGAATAAATAGGAGGTCTTCATGGAGTTGCTCACATTTGCCTCTTCTCCATCCCCAATGCTACTACCATCCTTTGCCCTGATCAAGAAGTGTGAGAATTGTTTTATATTCATGATGTCTTAGAATTGGAAGAAAGCATAGATGTTATCTAGTTCAATCTATTTTTGCTTGAAATCTCATTTCAACATCCCCACAAAGTGGTTTTCCAGCCTCAATATTTCTTGAGTCATAGCCCATTCAGTCTTCAGAGGATACTGTTAGAAAGTTTGTCTTGTCAGACACACATGTATATATAATATAATAATTTCAAAGAAAAAGTCATTGTAGTATTTAAGGTAAAAGCCATTAAGCGCAAATGCATTAGTAGAGATTTTTTTGCACTTGTGAAAATGGCAGATTTCTACCTTCAGTCATATCTTACACCTTGATTATAGATTCTATTTTGAAATTTGAGAATAATAGTGCTAATCAAACTGGTGAAAATTAATTCTCATGAATATACGTGGCTTTGATAACCTGAATGAAGACAAACTGAAGCCTTAAAACAGATGACTGCTTTGGATAATCATATATAAGTAGAACTCTGATGGGTTTATTTGTTGTTTTTCTCTATTGCTGAGCATAGATTATATGTGACATATGGTACCATGTATACACACATAATTATAATTCTGGATCATGAATTTTAAAATAGTATAAGATTGAATTTTTATTTTTATTTTTTTGCATCTGGCCAGTACAGTTATTAAACCCTGGACCTTGGTGTTATCAGCATCATGCTCTAACGAACTGAGCTAATTGGCCAGCCCCCAAGATTGAACACTTTTAAGGCACAGAAATTAGTCTTGAAATACATACCTCATAGGATTTATCAGCTTTCTATTTATAGTCTGTCACCATGTTATACAAAACCTTAAAGTCTCTTGGAGAACTTCTCAAATAGAATTTCAACAGATTCCCTAGATGCCTATGAAGTCAAAGGTCTATAGCTCCTGGTGTGCCATTTTGACCTAGTTATTACTGGTTACCTTACAATGGTCTTTGGAAAAATCTTTAACAACAGATCTTTTAATGTTTTTCTCACTCCTTCCCCACTCTGCTGAATTTTGGAAACACTTTTCCTTTCACTTACATGTTTATCCCAACTCTCTCATTAGGGCCTGTTAAAGGTTGCTGTCCATGTAAGTAATGAGAAGCAGAGCCTGGTAAGTGTTAGACCATCTTATTTACAGCCTGCTAGATATAAGAATGTCTTGTACTCTTGCTTTTTGGCTTCAACCCTAAGATCTGCCTAATCAAACCTTGGTGTTCTATGTGGCAGAACATAAGCTACCATGCTGATCCCAAATTAGACTTACCCGGTTTTTAGTTCTACTTATAAATAGAAGCATCAGAGGAAACATTCAACTTGTAGACAGATCAAGTCAACTAACGACTAGTAATATTACTATTTGGTTAATTCAAGGATATCATAGAACTATTTAGAGCACTAGAAAAATATCAATGCCCAGATGACCTAGAAGAGCTACTTAATTTCTAGAGATAAGAAATACTTGTTAAAGTTTTACATTTTTGTTCCTATTTTTCCTTATACTTCTACTTGCCATATGAGAAGAGAAAAAAATTACCCCACATTTATCAGTCTCAATAGTCACTAACATGGAAAACTCTTTAAAATAGTAATTAAATTTTGCCTTAGAAACCTTGTTGAAGAGCCAGACATCTCTGTCTCCTCATTGCATGTCTGACAGTCCTCTTGGAGGCACTCTTATGACACGTGAAATAATCTGAAGGGTACTTCGGGAAAATGCTAATGCTCAGCATGCTTAAACTAGCTCATCATAGGAATTATTATTTATTTTTAAATGCACATTTTCATCCACATTTATTATTTTTATTATTTTGGTGGCTGTCTGGTACAGGGAACTGAACCCTTGACCTTGGTATTACAAGGCTGTGCTCTAACCAATGGAGCTAACTGGCCAGTCCCCGTAAACATACTTTTTATTGTCCTTGCTACATTACCCAAAATAATAAAAAGGAAGAGAGAGAGAAAGATAAACCACATGTATATTTTCACCCACCCAACCATATTCAACCACTTACTGTAGTGTACATCTTACCCTATAGAGTATAATATATAGTATAGTGTAGCATATATCTTAATGTATAGTCAAGGCTGGATTTATGAACATGTGACCCTTCACATAGGGCACCATTCTTGGCTTAATGCTCTAGTGTCACCACCTTGAAGTTCTTAGTTTTTAAACAAGGGGCTCCACATTTTCATTTTGTACCATTGCAAATTATGTATTCTGCCATGTATATAGTGTAGTGTATTCTTCTAACTCCTTACTCACCCACAATTCTTTTTTGGCATGTGTTCCTTCAATTTTTAAAAAAAAAATACCTATATAATATTTCTATTTTAAATGTAATAAGTAATATAAATGTAAATGGGATCATATTATATATACCATTCTGCAACCTTTTTTTTCCATTTAATATACTAAGGACATTGCTGCTTGTTAATTTATCTCATACTTTGTGATGACTCAAGAATGTTCTCTTGTAAGGATAAACCATAATTTATTTAATCAGTCTCCTACTAATAAATACATATTGTCTGCTGTTCTTTGCTGTGAGTACCTGTTTGTGCACTTGTATCCACTATTTTCTTCGAATAAATTTCTAGAAGTCTAATTGTTGAGTCAAAGAGTACGAACATTTTAAAATGTAATACGTACTACCTGATTGCTCTTCAGAAAGATCATACTTGATAATACCAATCTAAATCCCATCAACAGTGTGCAAGCATGATCGTTGCCCCACATGCTGAGCATAATAACACAATTTCATCTCCGACAATCTGATAGTGCTTGCTATTTCTAATGTCTTTAGCCAGCATTATTAGCTTACTAGGATATCATTGATTTTGCTTATATGGAATGGCAGTATATTGAATTAAACATTAATGCACCTATAAAAGTGGGTACTTTTTTTTGGGCCGGCCTGGTGGCGCACTGCTACAGTGCGCCGCTTGGGAGTGTGGCGGTGCTCCCGCCGAGGGTTCAGATCCCACATACAGACCGGTTCTTGCTCACTGGCTGAGCGAGGTGCGGGCGTAACACCGAGGGTTGCGATCCCGTTGCCGGTCCCGGTCTGGTACGGGCGTGACACTGAGGGTTGCGATCCGTTGCCGGACACGAAAAAAGACAAAAAGGAAAAAAAAAAAAAAAGTGGGTACTTTTTAAGTCATGATTTTGTATTGGTCTTCCTAGCCAAACATTAGACACTCTAATCCCCCAAATTTTCTTTTAAATTTAGGTTTTTGCTTTCCACATGTAATATTCAGGGATCCTGTAAAGTGCTCAAAGATTTCCTCAGGGACACTGATCTTAATTTTTTTCTGCTCTTATCTCCCACCCCCAACTATTAAGAAAAAAGTTGTTTTGATCAAGCATGGGTTAGCGTTAAAAATTATTTTGAAATAATTTCAGACTTTCATTAAAGTGAAACAGAGTAAGGCTAGGCCTGTGAACCAAACTGACCCCATTTTCCTTGCAGAGGACACTTTGTTACTTTTCCACTCTCCAGTCTGAAGCTCCTAGGACTAATGATTACCTAATGGCCCGCCCTGATAAAATAGACTGAGATAAGAGAGGAAACAGATATTCACTGAGTTGCAAAGCCCCTCCCCAAGCTTGTTTACCATAATTGTAAAAATTAAGTTACAGATTAACCTTAAGACCCCTTTAGGAATTCCCACATGCGCACAAAGCTGCACAAAGCTTCAATGACTACAATGACCCTCCTATGCTGATGATGATCACCACCACCACCATCTTGGACCTACTGAGCATGCACCGATGATGCAACCTGGAAGAACAGAATGGACCACCTCCAGTGACACTGACCTGTACCCCTTAACTCCTTTCCCTATAAAAGACCCTGAACAGCTTCCCTCGGGGGGTTAGCTTTACTGTAGCTACTCCCCTTATGTATAAGTCTATCTCCTCTTTTAATAAAGCATTGCTTGCTTTACTGCTGGGTACATTGCTCATTTCTGTGACTTTTAAACCCAAGAGCCTCATTCAGTCACCACCAAAAATTGGAAAGCTTTGGGCACCAGAGAAGACTCCAGCTGCAAGAGACAAGTGGCCACTGGGACTATTTTGCTCCCATGTCTCTGCTGCTAGTAAGTCTCTCCTAGAGTCCCCAGCCTAAATTCTGACAAGGCAATGCTTTATTCTCTTGTACTCTCACTTTTCCCTCTTTTCTTCCTCTTTAAAATGACTGCTGGACAACAACTACAGCTTAAGGTCCTCTCGACTTGTGAGAAGAATGCTCCCTCTGGCCAGCAGCGGCTTGCCCTGATGGGTGACTAGCAGAGGTTGGAAGACCAGTCCTACACCGTGAAGACCTTGCTTGAGCAGGTTCCCCCTGACGGGGGATTCATGAGAGTGGTGGGGATTCATTCCCATGCCACACAGTGACTGGAAGTCCAGATGCCACTAAAATTCTCTTTATCTTTCTCTGATTTTCTGAGCTGCCTTCTGCTGTTTGGTTGGATTGTATCCGCTACTATGTAGGTGCACCCTGGAGGGCTCCTGGCTATGCTTTGTTTCTCAGATTTAAATCTAGTCAGTACTTTTCTTCTTTGGGCCGACAGCCATGGGAAGAACTGCTTTTATCAATTACTGTGTCAGTGGAATAGGTTGTCCCCACCGATTGGGACTAAGATAAACTGAACCCCACTGCTCCTCTTTTCTTTGTTTATTTGCTTGGTTAGACATTTAGTTGAGTACCAGTAATCTGAATAAAACCTTCCAATCCTTGCTTCAATTTTTGGGCTTTCAAGTCATTTGTTTAGTGTGAGAGGGCAAGCCGAGGCTTGTCTGTTGGTAACAAAAGTTGTAAAAGAATAGTACAAAGAATTCCCATATACCTTTCACCCAGATACCCAAATGTTAACATCTTACCACATTTGCTTTTGTATCCTCTTTCTTTCTCTGAACTCTGAGATTGAGTTGCAGGCAAGATGTCTATTTACCCCAAATACTTAAAGTTCATTCTCTTCCATAATCACAGTATCATTACCTAAATCAGGAAAATTAATACATGATTGTTATCTACAGACATTATTAAAATTTTATCAGTTTTCCCAGTAGTGTTCTTTATAGAAAAAGAAGAAAAAAATTTCTGGTTCAGGGTTCAAATCAGGACTACACATTATATTTAGTTATCATGAGTACCCTCCTCTTTGTTTGGTTATAGTTTTTCCAGATAAATCCTAAAATGGTGTAGCAAAATACTATTTGACAACCTGAATTCCAAAAATCTGGTTGGTTAGCTTTCTTGTATTTATACATTCTAAAGCAGAGAAAAGTTGCTTAAAAAGGAAAGAATAATATCCAACAGGTTTAGAAGTGTCATACTTGGACCATAGATAGTAGAAATTTGCAGCAGTAAATCACAAGCTGTAAAAAATGAAAATTTCAAAAACTTTAAAAAATGCCCTGGACTTTAAGAAAAGTTTTTCTAGAGACTTTCTGAAAATATTGTTTGCCACCTTTGCTAATGGTACCAGGTATTAAGTCCTATTGATTATATGCAATAAAGTTACCTCTCAGTCCCTAGAGAGCCTAAGGAAAGGAAAAAATTAAACAAATATAATGAGAAATACCCTTTCCTGAGTCAACACTGGAGAAAAAAGGCAGTTTTGTTTTTAGGAGGGTGATACTGAGCAGCTTTTCTTTCTCTTGAATCTTTTATTAAAAAACAAAATAGAGTGAAGTATTGTTACCAAACTGAATGGAATTTATTTGTCCACACACAACAGAAAGCCAAACACTGAACCACTGGTCTTAATAGCAGAGAAAAAAAGATTATTCATAAGGCAGCCAATCAAAAAGAAAGGAGAAATAAATCTCAAATCTGCCTTCCAACAGTGGGAAAGAAGCAATATTTATGGGGAAGTGGTTAAGGGTGATGCAAGGGATGGGTAATCATGATTGGTTAAAGGGTTTGAGGAAATTCTTCAGTGATCTGTGCAGGTGCAAGGCAGCTATCTGCCTGCCTCTTCATGGATTGTATGTTCAAAAAATGGCTGTGTTAGCATGATCTGGAGGTGGAGTTTTCAGCCCTCTGATGTCAAAAGGTCACCCATTGGACATTTACTCAGGCTCAGTAGCAAGGTCTGTGGGCTCAACCAGGTTAGCCTGGTTTGTGCTGGGCCAACCTAACTCCAACAAAACACCTTAGGCAAACAACTTGTGACTTCTGCACAACAACAGGTATTATCTAACAAGGCAGATTGAAAGAAAGAGAGAGAGAGGTTTGACATGGGATAAATGTGTCCCCCAAAAGTTCGTGTATTGAAATTTAATCCCCACTGAAACAGTGTTAAGAAGGTGGGAAATCCAATTATGGTATTTGAAAGGTGGAGCCTTTAACAGGTGATTAGATTGTGAGGACTGTGACCTTGTGAATGGATTGATCCATTCATGGAGGGTTTCATTCTGATGGCTTTAAAAGAAAAGCGAGTAGGAGGTTAGCTTTCTTGCTCAGCTCATTCTTACCATGTGACACCCTGCATCTCTGTGGAGACTCATCACCAAGAAAAAGGCCCTCACCAGATGTACCCCCCTGGACCTTGGACTTCCCAGCCTCCGAAACTAAGAAATAAATTCTTATTTCCTTATAAATTACCCAGTTTCAGGTATTCTGTTACAAGCTACAGAAAAGAACTAATAAGAGGTCAAATATGGAAATTTACTGAAACAACAAGTGATTTAAACAGGAAATAATTTTAACTGAAAAGTTACAGGTTACAGTATGTTGATAAATTAAAATTTTAACTGTGGTTAGCACATAATAGTTTACCTGAGGCATAGAGGAGAGCAGAGTTAAGATCATCTGACCTGAAAGTGTCTACAAATTCAAGGTGAATTCATAAATAAGGAGCAGATGAATATTTTACTTATTAAACAAACATTCAAAAAGTGCTCAATTTGTGTCAGCAATGTTTTAAGCATCTGTAATGAAAATTCATTATCCTATTCTTTGATCTCCATTTTACAAATGAGGAGACAGAGGCATGAAGAGATAGAGCAGTTTGTCCAAGGGCACACAGCTAGTAGGTAGCAGAGGTAAGAAGTTGGGAGGATCTCCAGGAAAGGCCTATGGAGGCCTAAATGGTTTAATCTCATGAACTTTTGAAATCAACCAACCAGTTTCACTTCCAGGCTATGGGCTCATACTGAGGAGAAATGGCTGAGAGTGCAAAGTTCAGCAGTACAGGGACAATGGAGAAGAAAAGAGAAGGTCCAGACTAAGTGGGAGAGAGAGCAGAGCCAGGAAACCTCTGAAAGCAAGTTGCCATATTTTGAACAAGGAAAGTTATCTGAACCAAGCTTCCTTCTTAAAGTTCAAGAAAACTAAATTTGCATTAAAAATGAGCAACAGAAAAATAATGAGGTCAGATGCCTCAATACAAAATAAATTACAATTCAAAAATGAAGTGACAGAAATGACAAAAAGAATTACAAATTTCAGTAGCAGAGTTTGAGCTCCCCCTCTAGAGCTTGGCTTCAGGATTCGTGCACTGAGGATTGCACCACAGGCTCTTGTGGCAGCTGTGTTCAGGATTATTACTGAAGGAGCTGGATGTCTTTACTTTTTTTTTTTTTTTTTTTTTTTTTTAAAAAAA